TGAATTGAAAAGTTTATACTGATGATATCTAGAGAATTTCATGCAAAAAAGTAACCTTAAATAATGTCGCTAAATAATATGCATACCTGCCAACTCTCCCGCATTTTGCGGGAGATTTTATTTTCATATTTAAAGTGGTAGTAAATATATACTATTTTTTCTTTTATAAACTTAATTTTTAGATGATTTTGATCACCACTATTCTTACAAAAATGAAGCACATATATTAATATGCGTTACTATCATGGTTGTCAACTTAAGGTTTCTCAAATACAACGTATTTGTTTGTTCAAAATTGAAGTTTTAATTCCATTTCAATACCACTGGGAAAAATGATAATGGAAGGGATTAAAAGTTGGCACGTCTGAATATGTAAATTTTAATTAAACAGAGTTCCCCTATTCGGCCAACTCTTCTGAATTTTTCGGGTGATTAAATTTCAGTGTTTAATGCGATTACAAAATTAATATATTTATACTTTATTTTTATTTGAATAAATGTGATTTGAAATAATTTTATTTATTAGTGCATTTAAAAAAAATTTGAAATATGTTATATACCAGTAGTCAATAAATTTAAAAAGAGATAAAAATTTAATTTAGTTATTATATCCTGCATTAGTCAATCGCAACTAACACTACAATTCACATTTCAAATTATCCATATTTAAAACAAAAACAGTATTTTAAATCACCTCGAAGGGAGGCGAGGCAGTCTGCCACAAAAACCTCTTCTCTCTTTTAAATTTGTTTGTTTAATCTCGCTACTTAATTTTAATTTTCACTCAGTAAATGTCACTGAACCCCAACTTGTACCATTCATTTGCGCTTCGGCGATTTATTATTTATTCCCACTCAGATGAATTAGTTAGAGCCTCTGGCGGGGCTGATGCTAGGATAACCACCACATATGAGATGAGTATTTTAAATCACTTTCAACAAATAACTGAAGTTACCTATGCTAACAAAGGTTGCTAATTTTAACCCTATGACAGATTAATTCTTGATATCTTTGATTGCACTGTAAACTACAACTCGCAACGGAATATTGACAGAGAAGACAGCTGCTCTGGATAATCCCAAAATAATTTTTAAAAAACGGTAAATAACTAAAAACTAAATTTTGAAAATATTTGACTATTTTTGCTTGCTTTTTAAGAGATATAGCATGAAATAACTACCAGAGATGCCAACAGCTCCGGATACGATAAAATAATTTAAAAAACGGTAGATAACTACAAATTAAAATTCGCAGATATTCGGCTAATTTTCAAAGGTTTAGCAAGACATAACTGAAATAAAGTGGAGAATTTTATAAGCCTTTGAATTATTCAGAAATAGTAATTCATAAGAACCTCATAAATCGAATTTATTAAACCAAGAATCACACATTAAAAACCTACCATTTGAAAATATTTAGACGCTCTTCGGAGCAAATTGGTATCTCACACCTACCAACATTCACTCTTTTCGAGAATGGATTTTCCAAGTGTTAGTAAAACAATTACCGAAAAACTATCTTCCTCAAAAATATATTTATATTTTAATCAGGTTGAAATTCGCTATTGTAAGGAATAAAATGCTTTTATATAATTGTTTTAATTATTTATATGTAGTCTAGGTCAAACTGATTTAAAAGTATTATTGTAATTCAAAAATTTTAGTGAAATAACCTGAATTTCGCTAGCACTTTAAGTATGAAAATTAAATCTTCCGGTAAAACCTGAAGAGTTGGCAGCTATGGTATCTCTGAATTACTCTCAAGTGGTGAATTACATATGTCTACGAATTATTTAGAAATAGTAGTGGATAAAAATATACTAAATTGAATTTATTAAACCAAGAATCATAATTGATAAACTACCACTTTAGAATATATTTATTTGCTGTCCGGAGCAAGTTGGCATCTTTGCGTTGAAGACGTCTAAGGCACGTCAATTATTGTTTTGACATAAGAAACAAATGACGTATCCCCGAATTCTTCGTATGTCAAGGGGTTAATATCTTTAATAAGACTTTGAATTTTATTAGACACTTTTTTTTTTAAACATTTTTAGTCGAGTGCGGCAGTCCTACTATAAGTGTGTTCATATGTAAGCCAAACCTCAATGAAATGTAAATTTACAATGTCCATTACCGCCTTGAATGCTATGGGGGTGACCGGCACTGAGTTTGTTCGTAGCGCCGTGGGTGTCACCGGTGATCGGCGAGGCCAAGATTATTAGAAACACATAATTCAAATAAATGTGTTATTTTTAATATTATTATCATTACTAGAATGGTTTGAAGAAATTAATGCAATATAGAACACAGAAAAATAGTTTTATTTTAATGCACAGAGATGGAAAGCGAATAAATATTTTCAAGTGGTAGTTCATTAATTGTGATTCTTGGTTTAATAAATTCAATTTAGTAGATTTTTATTCACCACTATTTGTGAACAATTCAAAGGCTAATGTAATTCACCACTTTTTTCATATATCTTATGCCTAACGTTAAAGTCTTAGTCGCCCAAGGGCAATATAGATAGACATACCCTCCAACTTATGAGGATTTTGAAAATAATTCTTTCTAGTGGTAGCGAACCAAAGTAGAAATTTTTAAAGCAAATGGATCTCTCATAAAACTTTTATCAGAACTTAAGAATCTAGCCATATGGCCTGCACTTTTATAAGTAATAGTGGATAAGTTACGCTAAAATTAATTTTTTTTAAACATTAAGACATTAATTTTGCTACCGTCTGAAAAGTTGATTTCTGAAACTACGGAAATTCCGTAACAGTTGGAGGGTATGTAGATAGATGAAGAAGTCACATACTAAACCTTTTAAAAAAATTTGAGAAATCTAATATTTGTAAATTTAGATTGTGGTTAGTTACCGTTTGGCTAGACGGGAAAGCCATGTAAAATTAGCGTGGCATTCAACGTGTTTAAACGGCAATTCTCTGCCATTCGAAGAAGAAAAAAAACTTTTTGACCAGCGTAAGAATTTGTAGATATGGGTATTATGACCGATTTTAAAAATGGTAAAAATAACAAATCGAATATCGATCATTTATGCATTAATAACTTTAACTGGCAGAATAAGTTAGATAACACAGGGGAAAAGTTTCATGAGATTTTTGCGTCGCTGATTTCATATCTAAAATCGATTTCTCTTAGCACACTATACTTTTTTTGCAATTGAATAATATATTTCTAATCAGGTTTTTTTATAATTCAGGGAAGAGTATAGTAAGTTTCTCCACTCCTCTCATACGTAAAGCGTAGTAGGAAGAAAGAGTTAAGACTTTTCAAAGCATATTAAGTGAAAAATAAAGAAATACACGATTCTCGAAAAAAATTCATACGTGTATTCTTATCAACTGAATATGAATTTTATGACAGTAAATTAATCTGAGTAACGATAAATAGTTTAATTCCACTGATAAAGGGTGCAAGTAAAAGAAATTTTAAACCATTTAATTTTTTTCCGGATAGGTAAACAGCCTTATTTTATATTAAAAATTTTAAATAAAATATGCTTTTTATGCTGTGTTAAACCAGCTCCTTCTATAACTGAAAGCCTCCACACTGTTTTTTGTAGGTAGTCGGATCAGACCACTATGAGGGTAAACCAGTTATTTAAAGAACCATTTAATATGAAATCTATTAAAAATTAGAAAGTGGTACCAAATATATGTCTAAAAATTTGTCTAATTTATGAATATAATTGGTTTGTTTTATTTACTTGTCAACCACTACAGATTCAATTCTCAAATATATATGATAAATTTCTCTCAATTACTTTCAAAATAGAAATTGGGTTCCTGCGCACAAGCGGATCGCTTTTTGAAAAATCTGCGTAGACTACTTATAAGAAACCGTGTGAAGTAATGGTTAAACCCATGTAACCTCTTAACCAACTAAGCGCTGAGCTTTGATCAAGAATTAAATCAAAGAGTGTCTACTCTACCTAAGAAGATACTAGCGTTCACGAACATCAATTATGATTTTTGCAGTCTGTTACCGTACATGCTCCGTTGCAAAGCTTTCGGTCTAGTTTATGGGTATAGAGGTATCTGAGTGTGGCGACTTTCAGGAACTGACACTTTATTTCGATTTTTAGGAAAATATCTTTTAGTGGTAGCTAAATTATTACTGTTATATTTTAATTTGTTATTCTTTATTTCGTAAATTGGATTTAAAGTTATTTTTCACACAACGACACGAATATGACTCAAAAATTCATGTAGAAATCTTTCTTACAGCTGTCTCATTGTGAGATTTTTAAAATTTTGACAAATTTTTCAAGAATTCTGAACGCTTTAGTTTTTAATTATCTACCATTCTTTAAAACAGACCTACCAAGTTCTCCAGTTTTTTTTCCGGAGATTTTTCCACATATTTAAAATGGTAGCCAAACTTCCGCCGTAACGTTTTTTTTTTACAAAGATTTTGAGCATCACAATATTTAAGCAATCAAGAGAATTAATTAAATTGCAAGCAGTACAATCCTTAAGTGATTAAGCAAAAATTCAAAAACTTTTGCTTACTTAATTATTTTCTGACAAATATTTTAAAATCTGGGATACATAAAATGCAAAATCACTTGCAAGAGAGTAAAATTTACAAGTTTTTCAATTTCTTTCACTTTAGTTATCAAATAATGTTTGGTTTTAAAAATGAATCATGTACAATATAAATCATGGTGGTAGTTTCTATTTTAGAATTAAATAGACTAAATAAATCAAAAAAGAGTTTATACCGCTTAGTGCATTTTCAGTTACCGATGGTATTCTATCACTGCTAATAATGTGGAGAGCTAGAACAATCGAATTTAGCAACTCTTCATAAAATATTTTACAAAATGTGTAGGATTTTGGCAGCTCCGCTTTTATATTAGATTAAGTAACTGAACATACGCTGCTTGTTACACTGTATTGGTAGAAACTAGTTCTAACCGGAAGATAAAATGTCTCTTTTTTTTAAGGAATAATCACAACAAACAACAAAACTTACCAACAAACGTTGGGTAGGACTTGCTGAAAAGGGGTGGCCACATCTTGAAGAACATTCCGTAGCCTTTGAGGTATCGTTTGTGTGGAAGCCATTCTGGACACTTATTTTCAACCTGTACAAAATAGAAGACAACATTGAATATTTGTAAAATAAGATTTTTTCAGCATTTTAGTTTAATACAATATCTGGACTATAATTGCTTGATCCTTTTAAGGAAATTGTTTTACCACATTTAATGCACTTTGTGTAACAGTGTTTTTTCAAAGCTCTGCCACCAAAGAAAATAACAAAGCCATAGTTTAAGTGCCTTTCACTCGAAGCAATCTGATGGTTTTAAACTATATGTATAATCTTGCCATGAAGAATTACCAGGACTTTGGAACGTACAAACAACTTAAATATTTTAGAAGTTATAAAACTTTTGTAAAAATTGCCAATTTGGCGACATTTTTCCACCAAGACGAAAATTATCTAAATCACTACCTAATTCTCAGTTTTTTCAAAATTTTATAAGAGCAGGTCATGAGTAAGATTTTAAATATTAAAAAATTAGACTACAAACGCTTCTCATTTTCACAAAACTGTGGCTTTTCTCCATATTGACGTTTTGCACCATTTTCAAAATTCGCGGAAAAGAGCGCTGGTTTTAGATAGGTTAAACTTGTCCTAACAGTCATGAGTAACAGTTGCAAACTCACAGCAGTTATTAAACTAGCATATTATTCGCAAAAAAGAGCGTCCTTTCATATTACGACGGAAAAACAGTCTTAACCGTTTATCTGCCGGACTCTTATTTTGCACTGATGGAAAAAGTGCCTTTTTGAAAAAAGTGGCAGCGAGTTGGAATATAAATTAAACGGAAAATATCTTTAGTTAGCAACTAATTTTGCTGAAAAATGCAAGAACTGTTTGATTTTAGAAATGATATATATATCGCATGATATATAATTAATATATGTTAATTGACAGGATATGTTAATTGTTCCAATTTTATGTGCTGAGAATGAAAGATTTGAGCAACCAGACGAAAGATAAATAGGACGTGTTGTGAAAAAGAGACGTGCTCCAAAAATGAAGCATTAGCATTTAAACGGTTAGGCTAAAACACCTTCCTATAAAAAGTATATACTACGGAATTTGCGTAGTGTCAGAAAATATTTTGTCAATGGACGGACGTAAGGTATTAATAGTTTAATGAATTGGAATTGCAAGAATTTTGTTCACTCCTAGATATAAATGATTTAATTAATTGCATAAAGGGTCAAAATCGAAGTATAGGATTACGAAGTTCCCACTAACCTCTTCATACTTGATATATTTTGACTAAGCACGGAGTAGAAATTGTTTCGAAGTCGTACTTAAATTTTGAAAAATATGCTTAATTTGAAGTATTCATATGTACAGAGAGCAAAACAAAAAACGGACCACCCTGAATAACTTTTGATATAATGATCGGATCTACACAATGGCGATTTTAAAGATAGGATTGGATTTTGGTCCCAATTTTCGAAAACTCATACCGATGTTACGCTGGATAGTGAAGATGAGTTTGAATATTTGCTCCAGTGTAGGAAACCAAATTTCTCCGCCTATAAGTTGGCCGAAAAAATTTTTTCCCTCGAAAAAAAAATTACGAGAAGGCGATTGAGTTTTTAAAATCATTCCAATTATACTAAATGACAGGTACTGTAATCATAAATAGAATTGAAAAATAAAGATGGTGATTTTAAAGATTGTACTAGATTTTGGTTCCAGTTTTCAAATATTCATACCGATGATATGCTGGATAAGAGAGATAAGAATGATGATAAGATGAAGGGCATAAAGATAAGATGCATGAAACCATGTTTCTCCGCCTATAAGTTGACCGAAACTTTTCCTCCCTCGAAACAAAACTATGAAAAAGTGATTGAGTTTTTAATATTGAGATTCAGAAATGATGAATTTTAAATTGAATATTATCTTGGAGAAATTTTGAGTTAAGTGAAAGGAAGGTGTGAATAAAATTAGTAGCTGAATTATATGGGAATTCGAAAGCTCAACTTAGAGTCCTGGAATCATTGGATGTGACGAACGAAAAATATGCAGTGATGCTATTTTATTTCGTTTCATAGAATCAGTTTTACCAGGTAACTTTTTTAAAACATGGGATAATCATCGAGTTTCGAAAAATGTTTAAGCAGCCAACCGTTCGATTGTTTAACAAAGTTACTTTAGTTTTTTAAAGTAAAGATATGTTTTAATTAAAGTGGAATTTCCTTGAAGATAAACTACTTAGAGCAGTTCAAAGGTAATTAAACTAACAAGGGAAACTAGGGAAGTGTGACTCGTCAATTTTGAAAAAAAACGAGTGGGACGTATGCCTTATGAGAAATAATTTTAGGGGGCAATATTCGTTTCGGCCCTTAGAAGGTCCTGTGAGAGATAAAAAAAAATTCAATATGTAGAAAAATCGGTATTTTATTACTTCAATGCAGACTCTTAGTTATTGTAATTATCTCATACTCCAATTAATTTTGTGGTACTTACACGTACTATATAATGTATATTTATTGTCAAAATCGATTTTGAAAGCGTTATATTGCTGTAGTTTTTCAGAAAAACCTGTTAGGTTAATTTTAAAAAAAATGATATATTTTTTAATTTCTTTTTTTTCAAAAAATTTTCCAAATTAATTGGAGTATGTAATTGCAAATCAATTTATTAATAATGAATTAATTGACAATTAATTAATAATTAATTAAAAATTAATTCATTAATTTGATATTTAATGTTCTAATTAGCAACTTAATTAATTAACCAATTAATTATAAATCAATTGGAGTATGAGACAGTTACAATAACTAATAGTCTGCATTGAAGTAATAAAATACCGATTTTTCCTATATATTGAATTATTTTTTATCTCTCACAGGACCTTCTATGGGCCGAAACGAATGTTGCCCCCTAAAATTATTCCTCATAAGGCATACATCCCACTAGTTTATTTCAAAATTAGCGAGTCACACTTCCCTAGTTTCCCCTGTAAGAGATATCCGAATCATTGCTACTTCAGCATCAGCATTCTGAAATCCTTTACACACATCTACAGCACTCAAATTATGTTTCTTCGAAAATTAATTAAAAAAATTTCCGCGTGCAATAAGACACGAAAACAAACTTTTGACTAAGTCTTCTGACTATAAGTTTTAGGATCATTTTTTTTAGACTGCGGTTCCTCTCCCCTCCACAAGGAAAACATGGGGAAAAAGTTATATTTATTTAGAAAAAGTATGTTTTTGTGTATGGATTCATAATCAAAAATACAGCCTGCAAAAAATAACTAGCATATTTATTTATCTACTATTATTATTTTTATATCCGTCGTTGAACAGCCGACCCAATGTTGGGTTTACGATTACTATTGTTCAACTCCGTACCAATCCAGAAAACTCCCGGATCAGTACCTTCAGAGGTACTAATTTGTTATGGGAACATGGATGACTTACACCCGTATTCACCAACACGGATTACCTCCGGGTAATCTATGGGTAAGAGTAAAATCACGAGTTTAGTGCGAAACGTTATTCTCCAGCCGAAATTTCGCCAAACTCGCAGATTTCATCGACAGTTCTGACTCTCCGGGTAACCCTCCAAAANATTACTACCACTTTAAATATGAAAATAAAATCTTCAAGAAAATCCGGAAGACTTGGCAGGTATGGTATGGATTCATAATCAAAAATACAGCGTACAAAAGTTAACTAGCATATTTATTTATCTACTATTATTATTTTTATATCCGTCGTTAACCCCTTGGATTCAGAAAAGCATTTGTACAAAATCAAGTTGCAATTAAATAAAAAGTGGTAACTTAAATGTAGTCGTTGCTAATTTGACAGACTTACTTTGCTTTTTCTTTAATTATTGTTCGTTTAATCATATATATAATCAATGTTAGTTCAAAGTATAACTAAATAGTTTTATTTTGAACAAAGTAATGGTGAATTAAATAAATCAAACAATTATAACTCCGCCCACAAGTAAACTGCTAAAGAAATACTTTGATTACCAGTTTCATCTTTTTATCCTGATTGATACAGTTTCATGCTGTCACGTATTTGTGACAGTCGGCGCGAAAGGGTTAAACAGCCGACCCAATGCTGGGTTTACGATTACTATTGTTCAACTCCATACCAATCCAGAAAACAAGGAAACTCCCGGATCAGTACCTTCAGAGGTATTGATTTGTTATGGGAACATGGATGACTTAGTGACTCGACAGATTTAACGTGCATCAGTCACCATTTACCCAGGCCTGAAAGCGAGACGGAAAAGAGAAAATACTGGTAGGAGAACTATTTCAATATTAGATAATATTCGGGAGGAGTTAAACTATTCTTAACAATGAACAATTCACTGTGATTAATTTTTTTTCTGGCGACGAAGCAATTCATTATAAAAATTGTATCCGTTAAAAACAATTGGTAGTTATTGATTCTTTTTATTCTTGAAAAAAAAGCTAAAAAATGAATTTTATTTGTTACCAGTTCTTACTCTTTTCCGTCTTGATATATATGTAGGCTTTCAGCCCAGCATTTACTGCATAGCCCCGATCTCTGGGATAATTCTTTAATATGCTAGTTTTAGGGCTAGAAAAGCCAGGCAGGTAGAGTGCAGGGCCCACCGACCGAAGACTCCCAGTGTGGTAAATGGTGACTGATGCCCGTACGACTCTGTCGTTTTGTAATGTAGCTTAAAATAGGTAAAAATATATTTAACATTTTAATAATTTATGGTTATTAAATACAGCATGAAGCACCGATTTCTTTTTCTGCGTTAAAGGTTAGATTTTCTAAACGTGAGCTACTTCTTTACAATAATTTTACAAATTTGCACTTATTTAGGTCTGAGAGAAACAGTAATTCATCTTTAAAATTTCTTTAATTTACAAAATCAAATACTAATAAATTTTTGAATATGAATGCGAAGAATTTTTTTCAAACTACTTTTTTGATATTTTAGTACAAATATTATTCCGATAATGTAACAGATTTTTCTAGTAGCCTATTTTTTATAATTAAAAAGTACCAAAACATATTTTTTATTATAATTAGAACTTTATACAGAAAT